AATTAAAAAATATTATTAAATAATTAAAGAATAAAATAATTAAATTAAATACTAATAGTATAAGAAATATTAATTTAAGATATAGTAAAAAAGCCTTTTAAATATAATTACTATTAACTTAATTAAAATATTTAAAAAAAAAAAAGCTAGTAATTAATAAATATTTAAACCAGCAACTAGTTAAGATCTATATAGATAGTGGTTTAGATCGCAACCTAATTGCCGACAGCCTGGTAGACTAGCTTAAAATACCATACATCGTTAAGAAGACACTATTAGTTGTCTCTAGTATTGCAAGCATGACTGCGATATCTTGCTAGGACACCCATGGTTGGAAAAATATAACCCCATGATTAACTAGAAGATAAAAGAGATAACTTAAGAAGAAGACATTTCCCTAGAGTTATAACTAAGCCAGGAAGGGGGTAAGAAAAGCAAAGACATGCTTATAGACTTATAACTAAAACCTCTTGTATAATTAAAGAAAAAAAAATAAAATAAAAAAAATAAAGCTAAGAAAATAAAAAATAAAAAAAAAGTTAAATTTAACTTTAAAAAATTATTAATATTACTATAATATAATAATTAATAATAAAAAGCAAAAGTTATATAAATTAATAAAATTATTACTAAATATTATATAAAACTAGCTAAATTTAATATAATATTAATAAAAGTAAAAAAATAAGTTAAAAATAATAAAAATAAACTTTTAGCTAAAATACTATAATAATATTAAAAGTATAAGAAATTATATTAATAAATACTTAAAAAAAAGCTATTACTTTATTTAAAATAAAATTATAAAATTATTTTTAAAAATAGAACTTTACTAAAGCTTTATAAAATTTATAACTTTAATAAAATAAAGTTTAAAATACTTAAAGAATAATTATAAATATAATTAAATAAAAAATATATTAAAGTATTAAACTTTTTAATAAAGTACTTTATTATTTTTATATTAAAGAAAAATAAAAAGCTTTATTTAATTATTAATTATTAATAGCTTAATAAAATAATTATTAAAAATAAAATACTTTT